CAAAATTAGGGGTGCCTTTTTTAGGGGTCCCTATGATAAGGATTACAGTATGTTGGGGTCTATATTAGGGTTCCCCCTATTTAGGGAAACTACCATATTATATATGTATGTATACTCGTAAAATTTTGTTCTATGGACTCCGCAAAAAGGCCCCTAGTTGTTGGAGACTCCCAAATCTCTTCCAAAAACATGTGGGAGTCTGTGTATGGAAGCTTCTGTCACCTAGAGTTTAATTCTTTTCAAGATGTTGTACATGGAGTTGTGGCCATAGCGCATAGGCTGCAGAGGAAGAACGAGGCAGTACTCTGAGAAGGGGCGGGGAGACAGTACTAACTTGTTGCCGAAAATTCCCACTACTGTAGACCCATGATTAATAAACCCCCTCTTTTTAAGGGCCTTAGCATTAGGATCCTTATGATAACCCCTACTAAGGGGAGGGGGTTTATTAATCAGCCGTCTACATTACAGAGGAAGATCAATTTCTCCTTCTGGGTGCAGTTTTATTGAAAAAGAAGAACGCAAGTTGACTGTTCTTAACGACCACCGAACACCTCTCGCTTGCGGAATGACTCAGAGTTACAAGAAGAAGTGTAGGCCAATCTCCCAACACTTGGATCCAAGAACGCATTATTGTGATTTGCCATGCCATGCATGAGAAGTAGGAAAGTGTGACTCAACTAGCAATAAAAGAGGCGTTGTTGAAATTTGTCCCAGTAAGTAACTAGTACATCAGAGGCATGCAGAGCAATTGTCAAGGTTTCTGTGCTAGGAATGCATATGCTGTCGCGGGAGTCCGCTTGCTTTAGCCTAAGGGTCCCAAGGACCTAAGTAGCAAAGGAACTCTGGGCCGAAATGATTTACTTTTCAGACACTTAGAGTACTTAGACATTAAACCCTAAACATTAAACCCCAATTTCGAAGGGGTAGGGGGCTCCTTGTGTTCTGAAACTCCCACTGGTTAGGGGTCGAGAGTTAGGGGTCTGCTGCAGGACCATTGCCATGAACGAAAAGCTCTGCCAGCATTTCGGTGGCTCCTGGACTAATAGGGCTTTCCTAAAACTAGGGGTACCATTATGGGGGTCCCTATGATAAGGACTATAGTATTTTGGGGTCTATATTGGGGTCCCCCTATTTTGGGAAACTACCAATGTTAAGATGTCTCTCGGACCGCCTAAACCCCTAGACTCCCAGACCCTAAAACCTAAACCCTGCGGAAGAAAAACTCTAATAGCAACCCTCGGGGTTCTTGACTTTTGTATCATTCCCTAGGGCTCCAGCTACCTAGAAAATGGGTTCTGGGTTCCATATACCTTATAGTTACATAGCCCTGTAGCCTTCTATTCAGGTAACTGGAAGCCCTAGGGTGTCATACAAACGGTTTGGCGTTAGGCATTGCGTCATGACTACGCCTTCGGGAAGGGTTTGGCACTTAGGGTTTAGGGCGGGGGGTTTTAATAGGATTTCATAGGTAGAACTTGAGGACCGCTACTTTTTTCTTTGTTCTTTTCAGCAGGGCTATTCAAGACTACTTGAGGTTGACTGAGGCTAGATACAGTAAGGGGGAACCTGACGGGGTTTAGAGTTCAGGGTTTTAGGGTTCACCGTTCCAGGGTTTTAGCTTTTGAGGGTTTTAGGATATGAGGGTCTTAGGATTTTAGGTTTTTAGGATTTTGGGGTGTTAGGGTTTTAGGGTTTGAGGTTGTAGTGTTTTAGGGCTTTAGGGTTTTAGGGTTGGCTGCCATGTTTTGGCAGGTCTCAGAAGTGATAGGTCCGAGTTCTTGCCATTTGGGTTTAGGATACAGGGAACCTGAAGCCTTAAACCCTAGAAGGAGGGGAAAAAACTAGCATGGCTCACTTACGGGGAGTATATATACAAATACATATACATACATATATATATATATAGGGATTATATTCCCTATTTTCCTACGAGTCCCAACCAGGAAGTTCGTCCTGTTTTTTCCCATGTTCCGGCTTTGCCGGCCTAAAGCCCTTAACTGGGGTAGCTTGGAACATGTTTTTTGGATCTTATTACATTTATCCCTATTTTGTCCCCATTTGAGCTATAGTCTAAACTCCTAGTATCCCCCTTAATAACCCCTATAACACTCCCCCATTTAATCCCCTAGATACCCCTTCTTTAAGGAGTTTAGGCTATAGCTTATTTGATCTTATTACATTTATCCTTATATAGTCCCCATAGAGATCTCTGCTTTACAGGGCCCCCAGAAGCCTACCCTTGTAAAACCGGCAACCCTAAACCCTAAACCCTAAACCAGGGATGAAGAGAACCCAGGCACCTTGGAAAAGTTCCCTGGAACTCTTGCCTTGCAAGTCTATAGTCCCCCTTAAGTAGATAGAATATGGCTTTGGGTATATTAAGTAGATAGACTATGTCTTTGGGTATATTATTTAAGTAGATAGACTATGGCTTTGGGTATATTAAGTAGATAGACTATGGCTTTGGGTATATTATCTAAGTAGATAGAATATGGCTTTGGGTATATAATAGGAAACCCCATATTCTATCTACTTAAGGGGGACTAGAACCCCAATAAATACCCTAATATACTATTGTAGTTTCCATTTTCTTTTCCATTATCCCTATGTAACCCCAATATATACCCTATAACCCCAATAGAACCCATTATAGTAGTTTCATAGAGTTTAGTTTTAAATTTAGGGTTTAGGGGTGCACAGCCAAATTGACGACCTCCCCCAACCTCACTCAAAATCGGGGTTTATATGGGAAACATCCAGCAGCGATTTAATTTCGTATGAAATGGCTAGCGCCAGCAGGAAATGAAGTAGTGAAAACAACAATGGAAACTACAATTCGGGACTTGGGATTTGGGACTGCTAGCCGAATGAAGACTGGAAACGACAACGGAAATTGCGATCATCCCTATAAGTGATCCAGTACCCCGTTCGACGCTAACATCCGGTAAGTCAGCCTAAACATAAAACCCTAAACCCTTTAAGCCCTAAACCCCGCTACCCTTCAAGCTCTAAACCCGAAGCCCTAAACCCTAAACCCCAAATCTTGTCATCATCTTTCACCAGATTCACTCCAAGATTAGGAAGCCTCACATACCTTCTAATGTTTTCTCTACGCAGAAGTCCTTGAGTCAAACCTAATCCCTAATCAGAAGAACGTCCTGCGCAGGTAAAGCAGTTTTTTTCTCATGTCTGCTTTCTTTCAAGAGCCCAACGTGCCTAACCCCCCAAAGTAGGTGAAATAATGGCGCCCAAAGGGCCATTATTCTACATACTTTGGGGCTCCTGAGCTTCTTAACCCCAAGCCCTAAACCCCCAAACCCTCCAAGGGTTTACGGTTTTGGGCCTTGTCCAGAAAACCCCAATAGTAGGATGTGTGCACGGGCCTCTAGCCCGAGTAGGGGGAGGCAAAGGGACCCATGGAGGTACATGGTTTCCGCCTTAAACCCTAAATCCTAAATCGTAAACCCTAAACCCTAAATCCTAAGCCCTAAACCCTAAAATCCTAAGCCCTAAACCCAAAATCCCGAATCCTAAACCCTAAGAGGCACCGTGCAAGCGTTTCCGACCCCGGCGGCCTTGGCGAAAGTGTCAGCTGCCAGGCCGATCTCTCGGGGCCTTGAGTTTAGGGATTCGGGGTTAGGGCTTAGGGTTTAGGGTTTTAGGGTTTAGGGTTTAGGGTGCTGGTGCAGGTACTATGGCGGGGCACACGAGAAGAAAACCTTTTTACCACACGCAACAGAAAGGGTCAAAAGCCCACAAACAAACACAACATTTAACAACTGATGGGTTACTACTGAGGTGCTGTACATGCTGCTTTACATGTCACCTGCTTATACAGAGGCGAAAACGGCTGCGGAAGGAATGCGTGTACATGTTTCAGCACAGCAGCATGGGGCGTAAGGGTTTTAGGGATTAGGGCCGGATTAGGGTGTAAGGGTTTCGGATTTCAGGGATTAGGGTTTAAGGTCCAGGGTTTGAGGGTTTGAGGCTGGAGCTTTGCAGGTTAGGGTTTAGGGTTTAGGGTTCAGATAGCTTCCTGCTGGGAAGGGTCGGCAGTGGTTTAGAGGGACATCTTTCAGGCATTTTGATGGGTGGAAAGGATCAGAAAATCAAAGTTACAAAATACTATTTAGTGCATATCGGGCGCTTGATAGGTGGAATTGATTTAGGGTTTGGCGGAATTGAGCGGATTCCGGTACTATTGTGAGGGGTTAAGGTTTTCCGGGAACCCCCTAAAGCCTAAACCCTAAAACCCTAAACCCTAATCCTTAAACCCTAAAACCCTAAACTAATATGGCCATCCATTCCCTCCTCGAAAGGCACAAGGTACGGTTCCTCAAAGAACCCATGTTTAGGGTTGAGGAATTGTGTTTTAGGGTTTTAGGGTTTAGGGTTTAGGGTTTAGGGGTTAGGGTTTTAGGGTTTGGGTTTTGGGGTTTTAGGGTTTAGGGTTTCCGTTTTAGGGTTTAGGGTTGAATGTTCATAACCTCTTTGTGGACTCTACACAGTTTGGTGAGTGTATGTAGGACTGTAAGCCTTAAACCAAAACCTTAACCTATCTAAAAGACCCTACCTTACAGCATGGGCAATTGCACCTTAAAGGTCCCTGAATCTACCCTTATTCGGATCCGAAGGGGGAATTTCAAATAGCCCATAGTGGTACCCTAACCCCTAAACCCTAA